GGGGACTGCTTTCAATTTTTTCTCATTCAGTATGGTGTTGGATGTGGGTTTGTCCTATATGGTTTTTATGTTTGAAGGTAAGTTCCGTCTATGCCTATTTTGTTAAGCATTCTTATTATAAAAGGGTGCTGGATTTTGTTGAATGCTTTTCTGCATCTATTGAGAGGATCATATGGTCTTTTTTTTTACTTCTATTTATGTGGTGAATTACATTTATAGATTTGAACCACCCCTGCATCTCTGAGATGAAGCCCACTTGATTGTGATGCATTACTTTTTGATAAGGACCTGAGTTCGGTTTGCTAGGATTTTATTGAGAATTTTTGCATCTATATTGATAAAGAATATCAGTAGGTAGTTTTCCTTTTGTTGAGTCCTTTCCTGGTTTTGCTATCAGGGTGAGATTGGTTTCATAAAACGGTGTTCGGGAGGATTCCGTCCTTCTTGATGTTGTGGAATAAGTTTTGCAGGATAGGCACCAGTTCTTCTTTGCAGGTCTGGTAGAATTCAGGTGTCAAGCCACCTAGTACAGGACCTGTTTTATAGGAAGGTTTTGTATTGCATCTTCAATTTTGGTACTTCATATTGATCTGTTTAGGAATTCTATTTTTTACTGATTGAGCCTTGGGAGGCTGTGCATTTCTAGGAATTTGTCCATTTCCTACATATTTTCAAGCTTATGTGCACAGAGATTTTTATAGTATTCATAGATGATATTTTGTATTTTCATGGTATTAGTTGTAATTTTTCCTTTTTTATTCCTGATTAAGCCTATTAAAGTCCTTTATTTTCTACTTCTGGTTAATCTAGCAAGAGGTGTGTCAATTTTGTTTATTTTTTCAATGAATCAACATTTTGTTTTATTAATCTTCCATATAGTTATTTTACTAACAATTTCATTTAGTTCTGCTCTGATCTTTGTTATTTCTTTTCTTCTGGGGAGTTTGGCATTGGTTTGCTCATCCTTTTCCAGTTCTTTGAGATGATTCATTAGAGCACTGATTTCTGATCTGTATTTTGGATATAGACATTTATGGATACAAATTTTCCTCTCAGGACTGCTTTAGCTGTGTCCCACAGATTCTGATAACTTGTATCTCCTTTATCATTTAGTTCAAGGAATCTTTTGATTTCCTCCTTAACCCAGTAATCATTCAGCAAAAGGTTGTTTGTGTAGAGATAAGTGTTTCTGTTGGGGCTGATTTCTAATTTTATTCCACTGTGGTCTGAGAAGATGCATGGTATAATTTCTATTTTTCTAAACTTGTTGAGAAATGCTTTGTGGCCTAGGATATAGTCAATCTTACAGAATGTCCCATGAGCTGGTGAGAAAACTGTATATTCATAGGTTTTGGGGTAGAATCTTCTGTAAATGTCAGGCAGGCCCACTTGTTCCAGAGTTCTGTTTAAGTCCATTGTTTCTTTGTTCATTTTCTGTTTGGAGGATCTGTCCTGTTCTGTCAGAGAGGTGAAATCACAAGCTATTACAGTGCTGCTGTTTATCATTTTGTTTAGATCAAGTAGGATTTGCTTTATGAATCTGGGTGCACCTGAGTTAGGTGCATAAATATTTAGAATTGTTATGTCTTCTTGCTGAATTGTACCCTTCACCGTTATGTAATGACCATCTTTGTCATTCATTACTTTTGTTGACTTGAAGACTAAGTTATCTGAAATCAAAACTGCTGTACCAGCTTTATTCTGGTTTCCATTTGCATGGAATAGTGATTTCCATCCCTTTACCTTGAGGCTGAATGCATTCATGTGGGTGAGGTGTGTTTCCTGAAGACAGCAGATACTTGGTGTCTGTATATTTATCCATAAATGCTTTTAGCAGGGGTCAAAGGTCTGTTTCTTGCCTCTGGGCAAAGCTGCCATGGAGTGCCTGAAGTGACCCCAATCAACCAGAAAGTATACATGTGGAAGTGGGGCTGTCTGAGTCCTGCAGTCTGGCAGTGTAAAGCAGGCCTTGCTCCTTTCCACCTTCCCCTACTTCGTGGTTTCTCCTGGGCCTCTGCCAGTAGGCAGGACCTGAAACCAACTGAGCTCACCTACAACTTTGATGTGGCTGGGAGGTTCCCTGCCCAGGACCCTGGCGGGAGCTGGGAACACAGCACTCCCGTGGGAAAAGGGGTGCCCCATGAACATGCTGCAGCTAGGACCCACTCTGATTGGCCCCTGAAAGCACACACACCTCAATAGACTAATTCAAAAATATCCCTTCTGTGCCCCAAGACAATGCAATCAAGACTTGGGTGTATGGGATCTGGCCTGCAGGCCTGTCCCTCAGACCCTGAAGACCAATCCCTGACCATTCCAGGGAGAAGAATACTGGCTCCAAGTCACTCACACAGTTCCCAAACTGGATCAATGTCCCTCCACATCACAGTGTGCCCTGCTTTGCTGGAGTCACCAGGCAAGTATCACCAGGAACGGCCGGCAGATGGGGAGTTCACATTCTGAGCTCCCCTCAGTCCACTGCAGGGCCCCAAAGGGAAAGATCAACACCTGTTTCCTGTAGATGCCTCTGGGTGGTTGCTAAATTGTCTTTATTGACAGCTACAGGTAGGGGAAAGTAAGGGGAGAATGAAAGACTAGGTGGAGGAAGAACTGAATTCTGAGAGGTGGTCCTTCAAGAATAATGGGGCTCTGGATTCCTGCAGATCTCCTACAACCCATTGGAGCCCTGTGGCTCCTGCAGTTGGAGCCAGAGTTGGGAAATGTCTGTGTGGGGATGAGCAAAATGGATCCTGAGGAGTTGAGGTCCCCTAGAGAAGAAAAAGGCACCCAGTGGGTAAAAAAGCAATATGGCCCCTGCCAACCACCCCAGGTCTGTGGAGTGGGAGGCACCCTGAGGGAGCTGGGAGCCTGGTGTCCAGTCCACAAGAGGCTCTCTGCTCACTAGTGGCAGGAGTCTCTGGGCTGGTGTCAGCAAGGCTCTCCAGCAGCTCAGGAGCCCACCAGAAGCCTGAGACGCAAGGGAGGGGAATTTTAACCACTCCACCTACCCTTCTCACTGGTCTCCAAGCCTCTCAGGGCTTAATCCCTGTCCATACCTTTCTCCTTCCAGTTGTGATCTGTAACATCTTCCAGTGGAGTCTCCTGTAGGTTCAGGCAACCTTCCTTCTGATCCACATCTGATCTATATTTGCCTATGTTTTTATCTTTAATCTAAAATTTCTCCTTGCAGAAATGCTCTGGCTGGAGGTGTTTCTCATCCACCATCTTGTCTCTACAACTATTTTTTTACATGTTCATATACCACTTAACATCATTCTTCACACTACTATTAGCATGCATATAATATTACAGGAAATTGTGCTTTTACTATACAGTACAGGTTATTCCCTCCAAAGCAAAACATTACTGGTAGTCTTACTGGTTTCTATTCAGTTTTCTGCTTGCACCTATTTTATCTGAAATGCCAGTCAGTATCAGGTTTTTAATTGATTCTGCCAATCTCTATCTTTTAATTACTGGGATTAGACCATTTACATTTAAAGTAATTAATGACATGTTAAGACTTAAGTCTGCCACTTTACTATTTGTTTTCTGTTTGTTTTCCCTGTTTAGCATTCTTCTGTTTCTCTTTTCTTGCCTACCTATAGGCACATGAACATTCTTACAAATCCATCTTGATTTATTTATAATGTTTTGAATATATCACCTTGCATAGTTTTCTTAATGTCATTACCCCAGGGAGATTAGCTACTTCTCCACACAAAAAATCGGGTCCCTTAGGCAGGGGTAGTCACAAAGGACAAGAAAATAATAGAATATAGAAAATAATGGAAATAAAAGAATACACAGAGATGAAGATATAGTTTTATAGATTTATATAAAGAAATTAGGAAAGCAAGGGTACTCAGGGACTACACAATATCCCTATCAATTGTGAGGCCAGGAGTGGAGTTTCACATAGGTATTTATAACTACAGGTTTTGGTTGTCAGGGGTTACAGGTTGACATAATAACAAGTAGTTTGTTTGGGGTTAAAAGTTTTCAAAGGGCTTCCAAAGATTCCTTAATGAACTCTTATCTATATGAACAAATGGTTACAAATTCTTTCAAAGGCAAACTTCTAAGTTCTAACAGATAGTTATCACTTAACAGAGGAGTAACACACAGATATAGCGGCTCCATATTTCTTTATCTTGTTATTGTGGATTGAGAGGGATCCTCAGAAGTAAGCAGGAACTTGGCTCTTTTGGCTAATTGCTTTTAGCCACAGGTGTCCATCTCTCAGGCTGGGCACTCTTTGTTTGGCTCTCATCCTGTGGCTCATGCAGACCTGCCTTGTCGTTCAAAGCAGGCAAAAACCACAGGTTTCAAATTGCAGAAGCCACCTTAGAATGCAGCTGCTACTAGACCTTTCAGATGCCCTCCGGAAGACAGGCAGCCTTTGATTTGCAAACAAACACGTTCACATATTCCTTCAGGACAAAGCCCTGCAAAACTCCTGAAATAATTTCTGTCTCTAATATAGCAATATTGGGCAATACAATAAATTAATAATTTTATAAGCCAATATCTCAACAATTATATTTTGTATGACTTACCACAATCTGCTGGTATTAATATTTTATCACTTCGAGTGAAGTATAGAAACCTTATTTCCATTTATCTTTCTTTACCATCTCCATTTTTTAAAAATAATTATCTTAAATATTTTCTTTAAATATATTGACCACGATAGATGCTGTTATATTTTTTGTGTCAACCATCACATATGATTTAAGAAACTCAAGAAAAGTAGGATTATCTATTATACTTATCCACGTTTTTACCCATTCTTCGGGTCTTTCCTTCCTGAAGTTCTAAGCCGCCTTCTGTTATTCTTTCCTTTCTGCTTAGAGTGCTTCATTTAGACACTCTTAAGATAGGTTTGCTAGCAACACATTCTTAGTTTTCCCTCATCTGAGAATGCGTCTATATCTTAGTCCATTTGTGTTGCCATAAAGGAATACCGGAGTCTGGGTAATTTATAAAGAAAAGAGGTTTTCCGGCTTCACAGTTCTGTGGGCTGTACAAGTAGCACAGAGACAGTATCTGCTTCTTGTGAAGGCGTCAGACCACTTCCACCTATGACATGGAGATGAAGGGAAGTCAGTGTGTGCAGAGATCACATGGCAGGAGGAAGCAAGAGAGCAGGGAGGTTCCAGGCTCTTTTTTAACAACCAGCTCTAGCAGGAACTAATGATTAAGAACTTACTAATTACCATGAGGATAACACCAAGCCATTCATGAGGGAACCTCCCCCATGACCCAAACACCTCCTGTTCAGCCCCACCTCCAACATTGGGGGTCAAATTTCAACATGAGGTTTGAGGGAGAAACAAACATCCAAACTATAGCACTCTATTTGTTCTTCATTCCTGGAGGATATTTTCACTAGGTATAGAATTCACAGTGGACAATTTGCCTCTTTCAGCACTTAAAATATGCTGTGCCACTTTCTTCTGACCTCCATGGTTTCAAAGGAGAAATAGTCATTTCAATTGATTTTCTCCTATAAGTAATATTTCATTTGTCTCTGGCTGCTTCTAAGATTTTTTTCTTTGTCACTAGTTTTCAGAAGTTTAATATATATATAATGGAGACAAAGTACAAATTCCTGACAAGGAGGTATAGTCTCAGTCCTTCATATATTTTCAATCAAGTGAGCTTGTTGGTGGCAGGGAGTATGTTTTACTCACTGTTGTATCACTATACTCATTGTCAGCACTTACCATTTTCTGGCATAGGGCAGGCACTCAATAAATGTTAGCTGACTGAATGAGGAGGCAGAAAGAAAGAACTAGAAAACAGAGAGTAAAAGAAGACAGGGCAAGAGAGATCATGGGCCCAAGACAGGAAAGAGAAAGACGAGAGAGGAAGGCATTGAACCCTTGAAGAAACCAAAGTGTCCTGTGTGGGACTGGCATGGAGGGCCGCAGCGTCTATAAAAGGGGTAGATGTAAAAAACCAGCCCTCTGGCCCTAATAAAAACTACTCACGGACATTTGTCAAACTGACATCATAGCACAAGCAGCAATCCATGGATACAGCTTGATACATTTGGTTTAGCTTAAATGTCCCGGATTGGTTTCAGAGAGATACAAAATCTCAACCGTGGTCCTCTTATACCCAGACTTTTGGACCACTTTCCCAACTCTGAGGCGCTGAAGCCTCGTGCGCATGCGCGTCCAGGAAGGCCACGTGGTCACTGCTCCTCTGCCCCCACCGCAGCCCCCCCTGACTCCGACGGTGACGCTCATTGGGGCGACGCTGTCGCCCGTTGTGGACATCAGCTTTCCAGCCTGGAGCACAGCATTGTGAGAGGCGTGTCCTGGGGGACAGGTTACCCTGGTAACCATGGCCTTGGCGGCAGGCCAGACCTGATCAGGGCACAGGGCAAGAAGGGTGTGTGTGAAGAGAAGAAACGACAACAGCCTTCGACTCCAGCCCCCAGCCCCCTGGGGGCTGATGGGTGGCCATGGAGCTGTACCTCAGGAACTGCTATAAGAATGTCGAAGCCGCTGCCAAAAAGGCGGCCGCCAGCAACCTAAATGCAGACAAGGAACACTGTGGCACCGTGAGTGGCGGCCAGTCCCCTCTCTTCCCCCTTCTGGCCCCAGGGTGGGGTCTGGAGTGGGCAGGCAGACCCACGGGGCGGAGATCTCGGTGAGGGGGAGGGAACGGGGCGTGTCCTTGACTGTCTCACTCCGGCTCCCCCAGAGGGTGGCTGGGGCTGACACTGGCCACCACTGGGCAGGGTGGCCTTGGGCGGAGCCCAGAGATAGTTCTGGTGACCCAGGGAAGCCAGGAGGTCTTCCAGGCTGTCAGCCGGCCAGGCCAAGCAGGTTCCTTCAGCCCTGAATGTGTAGTTCTTTGATTTATCTGGAGGTATTAGCCCATGAAGTGGGAGTAGATTGGTCTAAACTAAATGAATACTTCCTGGACTGACTTTCCAATTGTATCTGACAGAGCACAAAGAAAAACCCCTTTCCAGAGGTCGGGGCATCTCACCTACTGGATCTGCCTCTTGGGGTCAAACTGCCGGTTATCCCAGGAAGCAATAGTGTATTCTATACTACAAATATAAGTGAAAAGGTAAACTGCTTTTTAATAGTGCTTACGTGATTTTCCTTACCCTGTTCAGCTTGCTGTTAAACTTTGCTATGATTATGTTTTATGTCTACTTCAATGTCACACACCAAGTGGAGTTAAACGAGTTAAAGGGTTTAAGCTTCTAAACCTCACTTTAATGATATTAATAGAAGGCCTCTCCATGATGCTCCCAGCCCACCACATCCAGCCTTATCTCCAAACCAGAGCTTTCACTCTGACAGGTTGGGGTCTTTTCTGCCCACCCACACATACCATGATGATTCCTACCTCTGTGCCTCTGTCCATCTGGCTCCTAAATCCTGGCATGCACTGTCCTCCTCTCCTTCCCAAATGTTATTTTCAACGTCTGTGTCCAGGAATTGGACTGAAGTTGAGGTTACATGCAGATTGAACACAGCGTTCACAAATTGGGATTCTGCAGGCCACCTCCTTAAGACAGGTCTGGGAGGACAGAGGAAGAGAAAGACAGTTAGGTTTACTCAAATCAATCTATTGTCTGTATTCCCTCACTTCAGATTCTGCTTGCATGCTTTATTTTCAATGAACATCCTAATCATTTCAAAAAATTGATGTCTAAAACTGTGACTTTATTCATCTTACATTTGTAATACTTTTGAATCTGTTTGCAGCTTTATCAACCTTCTTATGGTTTTAATTTGACTGATCCTTACTGCCGACTTTTGGAAACCAGCTATAAAAGTCTACATGATCCACATTTAAAAACATACTATAAGCGAAAAGATATCCTCAGGAGGTTAAGAAAAGATGGCTACATCACCACCAATAACAAAGTACGTTGAAGCCTACTTCCTGTTAACCAGCAAAAACCTACGCATTTCTTAGATGCTTGCTTCTGTATCTAACTGGGAGTCTGTGTCAACTTTTAGTTCAGCAGTAAAGGGTACCTAATTTAAAAAACTCAATGAATTACTCAGTATTTGGGCCAAGGGAAAAAAGGCAGATGGTTTTTCTACATAAAGCTACTTGACCTTTTTTCTTTTATTGCAACAAATATACTTACCAAAATATTTGGGTATATAAGGACGGACACATACATACCCTTATTTATTTCCCCCAAATATATTGTAGTGTTTTCCCCCCATTCTACAAATAATGATGTCACTTTATACTTGTCAAAAAATATTTCCCATACCCTTTGAGCAAACTAGAGACAAAGGGGGAAACTAGCAAAATACAACTTGATAGAGTAAATGCTTTGGGAAGTTAAACATCATTACTATATTAGTGTCTTAATGAAAAACTGATTGGGAATGGTAAATTCCTAATTATGATGTGAACCCTGTTAATGAAATAATATTTGGATAGAAATTCCATTCTTCTAAGTGAAGTACTGTGAGAATGGAAAAACAAACACCACATGTACTCGCTATGCAATTGGAACTAATTGATCAACACTCATGTGCACACATGGAAGTAAAACTCAGCAGTAATCAAGAAGGTGGGAGGGGGAGGGGGGCAGGAGGAGGAGGGGATGGGTGAAATCATACCTAATGGGTACAGTGTACACTATCTGGGTGATGGGCACACTTATAACTTTGATGTAAACTGTACAAAAGCAATTGATGCAACCAAAACATTTGTACCCACATAATATTCTAAAACTTAGAAAAGCAAGAAATTTCCTGGTGATACAACAATTGTATACCAATATTGCCTTCAAAACTGTCACCAAAATGCATTATTATTAGACTTGATCCCAAATTGTTACTATAATGAATGTTTTGGGTTTTTTTACTCTCTTCTCTGTAAAGTGTTATGATCGTTACAACTTTGTACTTATATTTTTGGTTTTTGTTTTTGTAGGTTATATGTTCCTTGAAGGAACTGAATAAGTACAGGCATTATCTGAGCAGTTTAAAAGTAGACTTTGAAAGAAATTATATAAAAGAACAAGTAAGTTAATTACTTACATTTGTTTTATTTGGGGCCTGTAACAAAATTTTTATGTAAGGTTTGGTCCTATGCAGAATATTTTCTTATAATATTCTGTCCTAGAAGTATTAATAACAAATCAAATCAAATTTCTATAAGAGATCTATAAAAGATAAAATGAGACACTTGCCTTTCATTTAGAGAGAAAAATTTTCACTTGTCTGGAATGGAGCCACACTAGACTTAAATGCAGGCTAACTGAATTAGCCATTTGCAGACTACAGGACGTTTACTAAGCCTGAAACATAAGAAGATATATCAAATGACAGGTTTATTTCTGGCAAATAAAAACCGATAAATCTTTTTTTCTTTCAGAAAATGATCGAAAAACAAGTAAAGAAATTATACGAAACCAAGAGAGCTAATGAAAGTTATAATGTTGCTCGATTCCAAAAATGGTTATTACAGGAAAGTGCACGAACAACTCCAGTGCAACGACGGTTAGTAAAACACAGGTATGATCAAAATTAATGCATATTTCATGGAGACATTGTGGATCCCTATAGTCTTCAATGTGGAGAGAAAGAAAGATATATCAAGAGGTTCAGGGATTGGGAACCTTGGTACCAAGGCTAGAAAGGAGAGTTTCTACCTGAGAAACTGCAGCCTCTAGGAGCCCAAGAGGTAGGCAAAAGTGACATAGAAGAAGAAATCCAAAGCACAAACTCCTGATCTTGAGAAACCCAAGTTTCCCAAACCCATAGTGGCAGAAGGAAAGACAAGGTGTTTCAAATTTAAGTTTAAGGAAATTACTGCAAGGTCAGAACAAGAGACTTGCCATAACTCTGTCTGATGCTAGTATAAACCTGTGTCATTCCCAACCAAGTGTGTATGATTATTCAACTGTTACCCACATATGTTTGATGTTATCATTCAGAGGCCAATTCCATGCCTCGGGAAGTAAGGAATGAGTTCTACTTCTCTTTCTCCTTTATCAGGCCTGAGTACCGGTTCCCCATCACCTGGCTCTTACACTGCATGGATTCATCTCCCATGTTCAGGGACTTGGGAACTGCAGAGAGACGAGTACCCATTTATTTTTCAAAAGAAATTCAAATCTGCTAGTTTTTTGTGTGTTTTTTTTTAAGTCAATCCTTCAGTTCATTTCAGCCATCTTTGGAAACTCATGTTCCCCAAACTACTTGAGTTATCAATAATTTCTGTATAAAATACTTTTGATCACTTTGTTCCACATTTTGCCATTGTCCCAGCCACAGTAACAGAGAGTTGTATAACAGGGACTAGTAAAAAAAGTACAGCATGGTCAGTTGATGGATCAGGCTAGCTTAAAGGTCCCTGAATACCTCTAAATTTCCTGTAGTTCAAGAAATAAAAAACAACCAATCAGATCTTTTGGGAATATCAAAACAGATGAAGTCATTGTAAAGGCAACACCCAGTTTACCTTCACTTTTATTTGCACTTTTACTTAGACATTTAGATATGGTTGGTAAGGAAATGGACAAGATTGAACACACTGCAGAAAAACGGAGTGCACTCCGGATGAAGGAAGAAGAAAGCCGACATCGGGACCACATAAGAAGAAAACTTCATCTCCGTAGACAAATTGAAGAGGTGAAGAATGCCACATTTTAAATATTAAGGGAACAATTATGTCTGGTTGTTTGATTGCTAAACATTTTTAGCAGTTTATCACATTATCTGAAGTCATTTCAGTTCTAAAAAATAAATAATCTCCTATTAATCTTTTATCACTATTATAATGGACAAGTTTTTATTTAAAGTAGTGAGACTGATCACCACACATTATATATCTATTACATTAGTCATACCTCATCTGCTCTTTAAAGTTTTAGAATTTAGCTCTAGTGAAAAATAATCATGCCTGAATTCTCAGTTCCCCAAATTCAGACAAGACCATTATTTGTTTGGTTTCTCTGTCAAAATACATTTAAGAGCAGCAGATTACATGTGACATACCCCTGAGTCCAGAAGAGAAAACTCTCTTGCCAGCATCCTTTTAGATCCATCCTTGGAGCCAGGCTTATGCTTGAATTAAGTGTCTTATTAGCAAAATACTTTCTTTTTCCATTCCATTGCATCCCTCCAACACATTCCCAATAAAAGGCAGTAAAATAAGCCCATTCTAAAGCCAATGTGAAATTCTTCATGATGGTTCACCCAACTTCTGTTAGGCTACTTATTTAGTACAATTTGCTTATTGGTCGTAGATAAACACAATACTAAAAAAAGAAAAAAAATTATGAAAGACAATCCATACTGACTAGTGTAACATTGTACTCCCTAGGAATGGAAGGCAAAAGAACTGTCACTTCTAACAAAGATTGGAGAAGAAGTAAAAAGAGAAGCAAGAATTGAAGAACGACGTCAAAAATTCCGAGAAGAAACTAACCGGAAGGTACAGTGAGCTTTCACCAATGACTTGAGCTGTTTGAGAAAAGACTTTTGCCATTTTTGATATTTTAAAATGTGAATTGTCAGAAGTGGCCTAAACTCATGATGATAGCTATTGATGGAGAGACCCAGCCCTGCCTAAACCTATAATTCAAGGACTGGTCTGAAATGAGACTACTCTTCACAAAGTGAGAAATGAGGTCAATTGGATCTCGTTATTAACATTTATTTTTCTTCATGCTGGACCACAAAAGGAAACTTACCTCTGACTACCTTTCCAGCTTTGTACTTATTGTGACTTTAGAAATCTCAAGACAGGAATGAGGGTTTACTTCAATTATAGCATCCCATTTGAAATATCTGGTTTGCTTTTCTACTGGAAGGTTGACATTAAATTTATATATTAAATATATTTTTTAACATTTTAGAAACAAGTACTTCTAGAGAAAAAAATCGCTTATCATTTACAAAAAATGCAAAAGAATGACCTTAAAACAGAAGAACCAGAGAAGAATATATATAAAAACAAAGGCCCAGATGAAACACAAGGTAAGATAATGTAGCTAAGTAGAAGACGCATATTTATATATTAAATATTAGTGTCTTTATAAACCCCTCCCTCTGTTTTTACAATGAGATTACAAGGCCCTTCCAAAGGGAAGTTGTAGATGCTCATTTCCCCAGTGCCAGGCACTCTCCAAGGCACTTCTCAGTTACAACACCAGTTGTAAAGCATGTACACACACACAAACACACAGAGTTTGTATGTATATATATATATATATATATATGCATTTGTGTGTATATATATATAATGTACATGATAATTACATGTAATATAATATATAATTAATATATATTAATTATAATTAATATGATTAATTATAATATAATTAATAATAGATTAATTGCTCTTACAAAGGCTGCCTATACTGCAGGTTGAAAAGGGAGCCAATAAGAGGAAACAGAACACACACAAAAACAGATATCAAAGACAGAAAGCAAAAGAGATGGATATACATATATAGAGAGAAAATAAGCCAAGAGAGAAAGAAGTTTAAAAGGAGGAGGAGGAGTAAAAAAAATTATATGATACAAAGCAGGAAAGAAAGAAATGTTTAACAAAAGGAGCCAATAAGAGAAAAAAATACAAAAAGGACTGAAAAAAGGAGACAAAAAAAGAGAAAAATAGGGGGAAAAGTTTAAAATGAGGAACCAATAAGAAAAGACTAAACAAAACTGAGAGAAAGAGAGAGAGCTTGCTAGTGAAAGAGAAAAAGATCCCCTTTTGAGGGATATAAAAAAGACATTTTTAAAAATATAAAACAAAAAACAGAAAAAAGTAAGAACAAAAAGGTTGAAAGGAGGCAGTAAGAAAAGATGGTACAAAAAGAAAGAATGAATGAAATAGAGAGGGGGAGAGAATAAGAGAGAGAAAGAAAGCAAGAAAATTGAACAGAAGAAGCCAGTAGACTAACACAAGCACATACTCTGAAGGAGGGAGTGGGGAGCAGACAAAGACAAACAAACAAATAGACCAAAAGAGATGGGGTGAGAAGACAGAGAAAGGAGAAAGATAGGCAGAGTGAAAGAAAGGGAGCAAGAAAAAGACACACAGAAAAAAACATATGGGAACAAAGAAAGGATAGAGGAAAGAAGGGAAGGATAGAGGGAGAGAGGGAGATAGAAAAGAAAGAAGTTTAAAAATGATAAGTCAGTACAAAAAAGTAAAAGAAAGAAAAAGACAGAATATGAGAGTGAGAGAGAAAGAGAGAGGAATTTGAAGGAGAGAAGCCAGTTAGAAAACCAAATACAATTAGGAGGCAGGTGACAGAAAGATTCAAAATAACAAGTCATTAAAAAAAATAAGAAGTTAGTAAAAGAAAATATTTAGATAAGCAGATAGATAGACTAGACTTTAAAAAGGAGAAACCAATAAGAAAAGGCAGTACAATGAAGATAGACTGAAGAAAAGAAAAGGACACAGTAGGAAGGGGAGAATAGGAGAAAAACAAAATAATAAAAAAGGAGGCAGTAAGAAAGGCAATACAAGAAAATATAGAACTAAAACAAAAAAGAGAAAGAGTGAAATAAAAAGGGGAAATAGAGACAAAATGAGAGAAAGCAAAAATAAATAAAATAGAAGTTTAAAAGGAGAAATCAGTAAGAATAGTACAAAAAGGAAAAAGATTTTAAAGGAAGACAGTAATGTTTAAACCATAGGTAGACAGAAAATATGAACAAACTTTTAAAAGAAAGACTCAATAAGAAAATCAGTACAGGAAAATACAGAAAAAAACCATGGAATAAAGACAGACAGAGAGGTGGGAAAGAGAGAGATAAAGAGACAGAGAGACAAAGTAGGCAAGTAAGATAATGTTTAAAGAGAAAAGCCAGTAAAAAGACAGGACAAAAAAGAGGAAATAGAGAGAGAGACTTAGAGAGAAAAAGGAAAGCAAACAATTTTTAAAATGAAGACTGGAAAAAAATAAAAGAAGGAAGACCAAAGGGAGGATGGGAGGAAGGCAGAAGTACAAGCAACAAAGAGAAAGAGACTGAAAGAAAAGAACAAGAGATATTGAGAAAGGGAAGGAAGAGAAAGGACAGGGGAAGGAAAGTAGAGGAGGAAAAAAGGAAGGCTACAAAGAGAAATAGAAAAGGGAATTGAAAAAGAGCAGCCAGTAACAAATCAATTGTGATGAGGGGAGGGGAGGTGGGGTTTAAAAGGACATTCACTAAATTAAAAAAAGTTTAAGAGGAGCCCATAAAAAATGAATAAAAAAGGGGGAAGGAGGGAGGGAGGAAAGGGGGAGGAAGAGAGAGGGAGTGGGATGGAGACTGAGAGAGAGGAGGAGGGAGAAGAAGGAGAAAGGGAGAGAAGAAGGAGTATGGAAGGAAGAAGGAAGGTGGACAAGGAAATTGGAGGAGGGAGGGGAGAGGGAGGAAGGGGAGAGGGAAGTAGGAGGAAGGGGGAGAGGGGATAGGGAATAGGTATGTTGGAGGGAGGAGGGGAGGGAAGGGAGAGAGAGAGAGGGAGGGGAGAGGATGAGGAAGATGAACAGGTAAGTGTGAGGATCTAGGAAAGGGGAGACAGGGGGAAGAGGAGAGGGAAGTGGGAAGGAGGGCAGGCGGAGGACAGGGAAAATGTAAGTGTGAAGGAGGAGGGGAGGTGGAGGGAGAGAGAAAGAATGAGAAACCAAGGGAGGAAGGAAGGATGGATGAAGTGAAAAAGGGAAACTACAGAGAGAAGGGAAGGGGAAAAGAAAGGACAAAAGGCAAAGAAAATTGAATGAAGTGGTGAAAGAAAGGGATGGAGTAAAATTCATAGGTAAAGTGGATAAACAAGTAAAAGAAAGAACAAAGAAAAAAGAAAGGGAGGGAGGGAGAGAGGGAAGGCATGAAGGAAGGGAGGGAAATTTTGAAAGGATAAGTCATAAGAATAATTAAATGAACAGGGAATGTGATTGTGTGAGAGAGGGATTTAAAAAGGAGGAGCCAGTAAGAAATTCAAGTACAATTGTGGAGAGTGAGAAGAGTTTAAAAGGAGACTTCAGTTATAAAAAGAAAAACTAAAATAAACATGATAGATGATAGACAGGGAGACAGATAGATAGATCTGACTTTAAAAATAAACCAGAAATAAAAGGCAGTACCAAACAAGATAGTAGGAAACAGAGAGAATTAGAAAGAAAAAAATTTTAAGAAAAGGAGCCCATAAAAAGTGAGTTTTAAAAACGAAAGAAAAAGAGGGCTGGAGAAAGGAAGGAAAGGATGGAAAAAGGGGGAAGGAGGAAGGATGGAGGGATAGAGGAAGAGAGGACAGGGAGAGAGAGGGAGGGAAGGAAGGAAGGTAAGGCGAAAAAAAGAGAAAGTGAAAGAGAGCCAGTAACAGACATGTACAAAGGCATAAAATGAGAAAGGAAGGGCGGGGTAGAGGCGTAGAAGGAAAGAAAACAAAACATAAGTTTAAAAGGGATGGAACAGTGTAGGAAAAGAGTAAAGTAAAGGAGAAAATGGAAAGGGAGGAGATTGAAAAGGAGGAGTCTGTAAGAAAATCCAGTACAATATGGTGGTAGGTGGGGGATGTTTTGAAAAGCCACTAAAAAAGAGAGTTAAATAGAACTGAAATGATTGATAGCTAGTTAGACAGGCAGAGAGGTAGATAGGTATCTGGATAAGGCCCTAAAAAGGAAAAGCCAGTAAAAAATAGTAAGGTCAGTAGAAGATAGAAAGAAAGAAAGAAAAATAATTGAGGATAAAAGAAAACAAAAAACTTAGAACCACAAGTTAGAAAATCAAGTATAATATGGGGGGATTAAAAAATGTAAAATTTAATATAAAAACACAGTAAAATAAAGACAGACAGACAAATATGTAGGATAGACTTTAAAAAGTAGAAGCCAAAAAAAAAAAGACAGTACAAAAAAAGAGTTAGAAAAAACAGCAAGAGTAAAGAAAGCAGTTTGATGATCAGAACCAGTAAGAAAATCACATGCAATTGTGTATGCTGTGTGGTTGGGCAAAGTTGAAATATAAAAATCAGTTTTAAAAATACAGTAAAATAGGCCGGGCGTGGTGGCTCACGCCTGTAATCCTAGCACTCTGGGAGGCCGAGGCGGGCGGATTGCTCAAGGTAAGGAGTTCGAAACCAGCCTGAGCGAGACCCCGTCTCTACCAAAAATAGAAATAAATTAATTGACCAACTAAAAATATATATACAAAAAATTAGCCGGGCATGGTAGCACATGCCTGTAGTCCCAGCTACTCAGGAGGCTGAGGCAGTAGGATCACTGAGCCCCGGAGATTGAGGTTGCTGTGAGCCAGGCTGACGCCACGGCACTCACTCTAGCCTGGGCAACAAAGTGAGACTCTGTCTCAAAAAAAAAAAAAAATACAGTAAAATAAATGAGTGTGATGAGCACCATCTTGGACACACTTGAAGCTCTGACTGGGGATGGAAGGGGGGACAAGGCAACATATATAACCTAAACATTATGCACCTACATAATATGCTGAAAAATTACAGTAAAATAAAGGTAGATAATCTGATAGCTAGATAAGCAGATAGGTACAGGTTGAACTGTAAAAAGAAGTCATTGAAAAAGACAATAACAAAAACGAAACAGTTATAAAAAGAGATAGAAAGAAATAAGATTTTGAAAACAGAAGCCAATAAGATGAGAGTAAAAGAAGGAAGGGAAGGGACAGCGCAGACGAAGGGAGAAAGATAAGAAGGGAAAAAATAATGAAGAATGAGAAAGGAAGGAGGGAAGAGGGAGGGCAAGAGAAAGAGGAAAATGCATGCAGGCAAGCAGACAAAGACACAACAAGAAAACTTGACAGAGACTGAGGGAAACTGCAAAAGATACACAGAAAGGGAAAGAGAGAAGGAGAGAGAGAGGGAGAGGGGGAAGAAGGAAGAAAGGTAAAAAGTACAATAGGATGAGTAACTAGGAAAATGTAATATAAAAACAAATGAGGAGATAATCTGAGAGTGAAAGACAGAGGAAGGAGTCAGTAAGAAAATCAAGTAAAATTGTTTGTGAATC